AGTCTTTTATAAATGACTACTTTAGTTTTTGTTTCAGTAGCACTTTCATTATTAGTTTTATCCCTCATAACTTGTGCCGCAAGTTCTTCCATCTGCCAGTAATGACATATGAAAATGCTTCAAGTGAACTGTGAGCTGTACATTTAAAAAAAATAATAATAATAATTAATAAATTTACAGTAAAAACTAAAAACCGGCAGCCTGTAGCTTCCAGAAATCGACAGTAAAAGTATGGTAGTGGAATTTTAAGTTTTACAGATTGAACTTAAATTGACTGTAAAGAGAAAACATATTTTATTAACTCATATTTACTTTATGGTTTTTCACTGTAAATTATAAAACTACTTTTTCTCACTTCCACAGACATTTAAAATAAATTACTAATATTGTACTGTAAAATTACATGAAATGTCTTATTAATTCCAGGACTCGACAGTAGGGACTGGCCGATGGCCCGGGGCCAGCGTAAAAGATGCTCGGGCCAGTCGTCACATGGCCTTTTTTCTTTCAGTGTAGACAGATAAATGACTTGCTGCTGGAAACATGCCGCTTGTTTAGAACACAGAGAATTGCTGTCTGTTTATTTGAGGTTTCTTCATGGTCCACAGGCTAGAACTGAATTGTGGGAAAACCGTGTTGTCCAGTGTCTACAGTCTAGCCAACTGCAGCTCCTCGTAAATTACTGAGCACTGTTGTAGGTGAGTTTCCTCATTTGACGCTGATTAAAACAATCGTCCAATGAAATAAAATACTAGTTATTAGGCACACAGAGCCACATGAATGCGAGTAACAGATCTGTAAATTACAGTGCTCGAGGGAGGGGGGTGTGGGGGTGTGTAGGGTTGAGAGATGTGTGGAACCAAACACCATTGTTACAGCCTGGTGCCTCTGCTGTTTCTATGGCAACAGGAAAATAAACTGCTGCCAAGGTGGATCTTTGGATGAGGACCATGCAACAGGGAGAACATTGTAAACGTGTGCTTTGCACATCCACTGCACAAATATTATGATTCCTAAACTTAACAACTACCTTACTAACTATTAGTAAGCAGCAAATTAGGAATTTATTGAGGGAAAAGTCGTAGTTAATAGTGAATAAGTGTTCCCTATTCTAAAGTGTTACCATTTCATATCAAAAGATGGCTATTATTATAAATGCTAGGGGTGGAACGGTTTGCGGGAAAAAAATCGAACCGTACGGTTCTCCACACACGGTTCGGCACGCACTAGGACCGCGGTTCAACTTAAATCTGACAATGCATCTGTAATATGGTTTGCTATAAATAACACGTAAAACAAACACGGGTTTGGCTTGGACAACCCATTCACTCTTGTTCAATGCGAATGGCGTATGCTGGAATATGAGCAGTCATTTATTCCGTCATCACCCGGGTGCTGATAGTGCGCACGCACAGGTGAGACCTGAACAGCACGCGTTGATATCTGTGTTTAAGCTAAACTCATTTAAGCTTTGCCAGTTTAAACATTTAAGAGCCAGAGGACGCGAGCTCGCGCACGCAGTGAGAAGATTTGTGAGTGCGCTCATCCGAAACACGCAAACCCACGCCTCAGAACGTGCGCAAATATTAAGCTCTCTCTGATGTATTGTGTTTGAATGGACAAATTCACACAAAAATTGTCAAAATGCCGTCTTGGTAAGTATCCTATAGCAGACATAGCCGGCTGAACGTACTTACAATTTATCTACCTAAAAACTAGTGTTAGACCTACCTAAAAAAAAAACTGAATATCACTGTTTATTTTATTTGTATCTTTACTCTATTGTATTTATTTGTGCTGTTGCTTGTAGTTAGATAGATTATTCTTATTTTCTTTATTTTTATTTGACAGTATAGTTTTTCCCTAAACATAGCACATACCGAACCGTACCGAAACGGTGACTCTAAAACCGTGATACAAACCGAACCGTTCCACCCCTAATAAATGCCTACACAAAGGCCACAGCATTGAAGTTACATACATATGGATATTGTGTGTATACTGTCACACTTTATTTGCTACTATTTTAGAACACTTGATGATTATCTAATCAAAATAACAAAATATGGCAGTCGCACAGACAAAAAGTGTCGTGTTCTGTTCAAGCGGCGTTCTAAAACAGTTTATTTAATCACCAAATGGATAAAAGTTCACTTCAAGAATGATAAAGTTCTGTGTTTAAAAAAACTATGCAAAACCGAAAGAGAAAGCGCAATCTATATCATAGCTCTCTATGCACAATCTTCCAGCCCAGGGTGAAGTCTTTATGTATATTAACAACGATTTGCTATAATGTAATTTAATGGAAAACAATGTGAATGGAGCTCTGGCACGGCAGGATTTCTTTCGGCTGCATGAACATATCAGTTGGCTTTAAATCTGCAACATCGCTGACTAACAAATGCATTAATGTGACCAGTTGGATATACAGTAACGCAAATAGATAATAACAATCATAATATTAAAGGGGTCATATGATGCGATTTCAATTTTTCCTTTCTCTTTGGAGTGTTACAAGCTCTTGGTGCATAAAGAAGATCTGTAAAGTTGCAAAGACTAAAGTCTCAAATCCAAAGAGATATTCTTTATAAAAGTTACAGCATCATATGACTCCTTTAAACATTTGGGTCGGACTTGTGTGTGTTTTGGTTGCATTGTTTGAACCGCTTGAGGTGCTACTAATGTTAGCGTCCTCTCAGCCTTTACAGCAAACATACTGTTTTCCTTTCTGCATTAATGCAGCATCTAGCCAACAAATTAATTACTTGGTAATGATATGAAAACATGCACTATATATAGTATACTGTATACTATAAACAAACTGCACGTGGTGTCAGTGATTCCACCTCTAGAGTCCACTCGCGTACTGTACAATGACAGCAAACACAATGGACGCAAAACAGAAAAACTGCAAAAAATCGGCATGGATTTTTGCCAATAGTTCCAGCAATCGACTATCGGTGCTGATTAACCAATCAAATGGTAGCCTCCACGTTTTCCACGTATAGTGTGCTGATGTATTTTTCATTATTGATTAGTTGTTGCGGCCCTGTATTAAACATAGACAGATGCTGATTTTTTAATGTGCAAGCACTTCTAAAGAAAATGTAAAGATTCTTGTATTGTTTTATGTTGTCTCGTCTTGCTGTTAATGGATGTTTGCTGGTCCACTCAGATGGTCATAGCTGAAGAAATAGAAAGAAATCACAAATTCGTTACTGTCTTAATAGACTTTGTTTCTTCAAAACTGCACCAAAGCCAAGTTTTCGGGCTGATATTGGAGTAGGCTGAATTTCTGGGTCACACACTGTCTATAATTGGCAGTGTAAACGGTACAATCTGTCCCCAAATTTAACTGCACTGCTGAGTCAAGAAGCCTGTCTGTCTGCAGAGACACAGTACCTCTAAATCATCCCAGTGCAGAGGTAATGTTTCAACTTGAGACTTTGACTCTTTTAGCCCTCGGGGAAATGCCATTTTTCAATGCACAACTTTAGTATGAAAGTGAAACACTGGTTTCAGAGAACAGCATTATCATCTGGGAAACATCAAGGCTGGATCCTGCCTATGAAACCTCAAAAACGTCTGCGTGGCATGTCGAAACGAATGCTAGCAGAAGCTTTTGTCTGTTATCACATGCTGTCTGGGCCACAGGCACTTTGGGACCAAAATTCAGCTTCACATCTGTGTGTCACCCTGCTTTTGGTGTGTTTATCCCTCTGAACGTATTTGTGTGGGTCCAGATGAGAAAAGGATTTGTTTTGTGTATGGCACCTCTGATTGTGCATTAATTTCTCAGTGCCAACAAAGGTCTTGCACAAGGAGGGGGTTAACTATCATCAGTGGGTTCTAGTATCTTCTGCTAGTTCCCCAACAAATTTAGTCTAGCGGAACATAATAAACGGGGCTCGTGTGATAGCGACAGGCTGTAGATGAAGGGTTGGAGCTGGGCCCGTTTGTCAGTTTATTGGCTAGTCTCAGGTCAGTCGCTCATAGAGCGAAATGGAATAACTGGAATAATGATTTACTGAAATGAACATATCAGTGTGACCTCTTTTCCACCTTCAGCCCATGTTTACATTATATCGAATTAAACTGGATAATTTCCCAAAGTTAGGTCATTGCTCAAAGTTTCTATGGATCTGTTTAACTATTAAAAGGATAGTTCACCCAAAAATGAAAATTCTGTCATCGTTTACTCACCCTCCACTTTTTCCAAACCTGTATGAGTTTTTTTCTTTTGTTGAACACAAAAGAAGATATTTTGAAGAATGTTGGTAACCAAACAGTTGATGGTAGCCAGTGACTTCCTTAGTATTTTTTTCCATACTATGGAGGTCAGTGGCTACCATCAGCTGTTTGGTTACCAACATTCTTCATAATATATTTTGTGCTCAACAGAAGAAAGAAACTCATACAGATTTGAAGCAACTTGAGGGTGAGTAAACAATGACAGAATTTTCATTTTTGAGTGAACTAAGTTTAAAGCTGGAATAAACAAGTTTTAAAATCTGAACAGATTTCATAAACTTGCCAACTTTTAATATGGTACAGAGTAAAACTGGGCATTATACACTAAACGACTGATCACAAACTAATGCAGAAAAATGTGCCATGTTTCTAGGAGATGTTCTAAAATCAGCCCAAAATATTAAACATTTTTGATATAGTTTTCTGCCCTTTAAAATGCACACAGCCCTGCTCTCTATGGACCGCAGTCCACATGGATTTGATTTCTATTAGGGCATGTTTTACATTAGGTGTCTCCTGCATTTTTGTCTCCTCAGTTCCCCTTTATTTTTTCTTTTGGAACGGAAGAAAAGGAAATCGTTGTTTGCCTTGTAAACACAATCAAACAGAGGAAGTGAGTGGCTTTTAATAGAGCTAGACACACAGATGGGAGTATCCAAGCCCATTAATCATCCTGCTTTTGAAGAATATCTAGAGAGTTAGTTCTTTTCCAATTATTTATTAATTTTACCCTCTGTTTCTTTACACAGGCTGGTTTTTGGAAACCTGTACCCAGCGTACTGCTCTTACAAAGCAGTGAAAACCAAAAACGTCAAAGAATACGTAAGTATAAACACAGTGTCTGTTCACGTACAGTTCTGTTGGTTGTTTTTCATTTAGCAGGCATTTGATTTTCCAAACCAACTTGCAGTTTGATTGCTACAGGCTCAGTCTGCTCTGAAATAACCTGAGGTTAAGTGTCCTGCCCAAGGGCTCAGTAGTGATCATAAATCAACACTTCTACAACTTTTGGGTTACTAGCCCAGATTTTTAACTGCTAAGTCACACCACTCCTTGAAATGAGACGTGAACAGCCCAGCACATTATTGTTTCTGTGCATGTTCGGGCATGTTGGGAAGGCAGTGTGTGTTGACTTGTATGTCCGGATCAGGTGACACGTTCTCTCTGCACTTACTTGTTTTAAAGAACCTGCCCTGTGAGAACCCATCCTACATCCTCAGGAGAAAGTTCAATGCAGGTGTTACGCTGAAATGCTAATTCAGGTCCAGCCAGAAGCAGTGTCATTTATAGTCAACAACACCTTTAAGCAACATTGTAGTGAACCTGCAAAGCAGGATATAATGGCGAAAACTATGCAGAATGTGGTTTTGCCCCATTGAGGCCAAACCATAATCTTCTATCAAAGTTCCCTTTGTTCTTGTAAAATGATTGGAATGGTTTTTAATTTAAAAATGAAAATTGTGTTTTTAATTTTATTTACTTACTCTGTTGTTCAATGGAGCCTAAAGATTCAGATGCTTTCCTTTTGTGTTTCATGGTTTGAAACGACATGAGGGTGAGTAAATGAACGTTTTATTTTTGGGTAAACTATCCCTTTAAACATTCCTCTTACTTGGCTGTCATGCCTTTGTTCTACTTCAGACAGCTAATTTTAGGTTTCCTTAGTGGTTGTACTGGTGGTATTTCAGTACCCTAGTAACCTTAGAGTCTGTTTGTATGAGTTCTAATTGCAGTGAATTGAGTTACTTCTACTGTGAAATGCATTCCCCTCTACTTAACTTGTAGAAGCTACACCAGCGCGACCTCTCTTAAACAGGACTGTTCTATTTGTCAGTCAGTATTTCAGAAAGTCTTAACTTTGGAAAATACATTATGAAAACATTTTTTTTCTTCTTAACATTGCTGTAACAGCCTGCAGCCAACATTGGTTTATCAACAAAGGTGTTTTCTGTTTGTTTTACGTTAACTTACCAGCGCGACCTCTCTTAAACAGGACTGTTCTATTTGTCATTCAGTATTTCAGAAAGTCTTAAAACTTTGGAAAATACATTATGAAAACATTTTTTTTCTTCTTAACATTGCTGTAACAGCCTGCAGCCAACATTGGTTTATCAACAAAGGTGTTTTCTGTTTGTTTTACGTTAACTGTGGTCAGTAAGCATATATCAATAAATCTATATACACAGGGCATCGACAGTAATGATTTTCTGAGCATTAACATTTTCTTAGAAAATGGTTCCTGATGAAAGTCTTCATCTGTTGGAAACCACCTAAATACTATGCAAAACTAGTGTTAATTTTATCAGCCATTTTTAATTTAGTCCCAAATGACGCACTATGCACTCATTCACTATGTACTTATGCGCTATGTACTCAAACATGTAGTGTATGAATTATATAAGGTTATTTTGTCATTCATAATCAGAGTCTGATAGTCCCTCCCCCTTCGATACGTAATTAAAGCTGCGACAGTTGAGTCCATGAAGTGTCCAACATTCCAAACTTCATTTATTTGGTTATTTAAGTGCGTCATCCGGGTATTTAAAGTGTGCTTTTTCGTTTTGGAATTTTCAGTGTGAACGCACTACTCTCACTATTTATACTACAAAACGTCATAGAATAGTGCATAAATATGCGATTTGGGATGCACCTTTAGTCTTAGTCTTTTAAATTAGTCTTAGTCCTGTCAAATGTACTTTTTAGTTATTATCCTATTTAGTCAACCTTGTCCCGTTTTTGTTTAGTCATGTTTTAGGCGACTAAATGTCTGAGCATTTTAGTCTAGTTTTAGTCAATGAAAACTTTTGTCACATTTTTGTCATGCTGTATAATGGTTGGTTTAATAATAATAATAATAATAATAATAATAATAACATTTTGCTCAAAATTATAATCGCAATGATTGTTGTCATTTGAGAAATGTATTTTTACATTTCAGGTATTGCACTTTCACCAATAAGAACAAATCAATTGAATGTGGACTCATACAAATGGTTTATTTTACCCCATCTAGTGTACTGATTTATTATAGGCTATTTAATAAATTAATTAATATCAAAGACTTAAGCCCTATTCGCACGGGATTAGTATTATTTGGGGACCTTGTGTGATTTTGAAATTACCCCCAAACACACACACACACACACACATCTGAATTTTGTGTGGTACATTCGCACGGGATAAGTGAAGCCTGTGATTTTACTCGAATTTACTGACTTGTCTCCCGGATGTCAAGGCTTTGAGAGTCACGTTCTATGGTCCAGATGGATTTTAAAAAAAGAAACTAATATAGTTTCATGCGCTGTGTCATTTCAATTTCACCAGGTTAAAATATCATCTCAAACTTTATGCTTGATTTATTTGTAACACATTAACCACAAAACCTTTTCAGCTTTCTCTTTCTGCAAATTGTATGGTGTAGCAATATGATGACAGCGCCCAAAATACTATCAAACAATCCAACGCAGCTCCATTCTTCGCGAAAGATGGATAAAAAGGTGCACAGGAAACAAAAACCTCGAAAAATGATATACGACCTGCCAAATGCTGGCCGAATCACAGAGATGCCGATTCGCACGGGACTAATATTATCACAGGACCTCTGTGTTTTCAGCAAAATATGGTAGGTCATTTGCGGGGCAATTTTTACTTTACAAATTACAGACATGGCCGATTCTCACGGGATTAAGATCACAGACAACCTCCGCAATTATTACAAATGACTGGAGATCACCAGGTAATACTAATCCCGTGCAAATAGGGCTTTAGATATGCACTCTCTCGGTCTACATTATGAAAACAGGTAAAAACAAACAAAAAATATTATAACAGTGAAATTCTTCCTAATAGTAATTCCAAATTGCAATAATGTTTCTCTATTAAAACAACAGCAGTTGAGTAAGTGCCTTTATTCAGCAACCACAATCGCAAACAAAACAGTTGAGATCTCATGACAGAACACAGAGAGAGGCTGAATGACACTTTCATTTAAGCTGAACATCTCATATGGAGATAGCTAAACTGCAGCTTACTTGTTTGATGGTGTTTTCAGATCATCGTCGGCGCTTCCGCAATGAAGAGCGAGCGCATGCGCATGGTTACCAGATTGCAGAAATTAAGCAAAACGCCGGGTAGAAAATGTAACATTTTAACAGAGAAGCTCTAATTTGGGGATTTAAACTTTTCATATCTGGCAACCGCACAAATGAAAGTTCGCGTAGTAGAGGCATGTACAGCAGTCCGCAATAATATTTTGTAGTCTCGTTTTTTTTTTTTTTTTGTTTTTTTTTTACAAAAATTTGATTTTGGTATAGTTTTTATTTTTTTAAATACATTTTAGTCTTGTCTGTTATCGTCAACGATATTGCATGTTGATATAGTTACCGTTATCGTTTATTGACCTTATTGTCATTTCGTCATCATCTAGTTTTAGTCATGGGGGAAAAAAAGCTTGTTAACGAAATTAACACTATGTAAAACATTTCAGATTTAGACACTGGGAACAGAACGAGGATATTCTAATAAAAGCTTGCTTAAAGGAATGGTTGATGATGGGCATGTTGAGTATGATGGATATGTTGTTAAAAAAATAAAATCTATGATTTTCCGTTAAAAACCAGCAGCTGTGTTTGCCAGAATCTTACTGTAAAAAAATGGTAGCAACATTTAGGTTTTATGGATTTTAAATTTACAATTAAAAAAAAAACATATTAAAAACATACATTTTTTAATAAAAACATTTTTAAAACAACATACTAATTGATATAATGTTAATATACTGAAGTACTTAAAGGGATAGTTCACCCAAAAATGAAAATTTGATGTTTATCTGCTTACCCCCAGGGCATCCAAGATGTAGGTGACTTTGTTTCTTTAGTAGAACACAAACTGAGATTTTTAACTCAATCCGTTGCAGTCTGTCAGTTCTATAATGTCAGTGGATGGGAATCACGGCTTTGAGAGTCATAAAACATAAACAAAACCAAATTAAACCCTGCTGCTCGTGACTATTCATTGATGTGTAAAGACAAAACGATCGGTCTGTGCAAGAAACTGAACAGTATTTATATCATTTTTTACCTCTGATTCACGCAATGTCCGAACTGTTCGAACTGTCCTGAGCGGCGGCGCATCCTCCTGAGCGCGTTCTCAACAGCAGGCGAGTGATTCGTCGTCTTCTTCTTGCTTTACGGCGGATCGCAGACTTATAAGTGCATTACCGCCACCAATCTCTCAAATGGACTATTGACACTCTATCTACAATCTCAATTAGGAGTGTCAATGGTCCACTTGAGAGATAGGTGGC